GAGAGTGAGTGCTGAAACTTCACATCCAGAACCCTCAGCCCGAACTCCCCAACCGTAATCTGAAATCTCAAAGCCTGAACATGTATATCCACATATATATATATGTATGTCGATATATGTATATAGAAAATCCTGAACACCCGTCCTGTGGCCAGGCCATCCAGGAGTAGAGCTTGAGTATTGAGCGGCCCAAGTTCTCGATATGCTGTGGAAACAGGATGTGCTCAAAGGCTGAGCAAAGCAAAGCCAACATATCATGATCGCTGTCACCGTAAGAATATCACAACATACTACAACTATACAGAGCCATATGATTCTGTTTTCAAGAACCGGTGTTTGGTTGTCATATTACGGCCTGTATGCTTTTCGTATGACTTCGACTGCGAGAAGTCCTTTGTCGCAAGTCACGATATGCACTCAGAGTTGAGCCGAGCTAGCGACCGGCAAGACAGTATCGAGGACTCGAGCTTTCGACTGATTGATGGCTCCTGCACACTCGTTCTAGCCAGCACTGCGTTGGGGCTACGCACGCGGTGGCTGTTGGAAAGATGCGCACAACGGCTGCATGTGGCCAGGTGTAGGGTCACGGCTCTGTGGGGTCGCCGACACGATGCACCTCCGTGTTTCACAAGGTAAGAGTCGTTTTCTTGGGTCACAGCAATCCAAGGGGGAGGTGTCGACCATTTGCGACCCTGGGCGAACGGCCAGCCAGTTCACAAGATGTTGGAGTTTACCTTCAGTTGTGGAGCTACGCAATCCTTCCGAGAAGGGCAACAATCCTTGGAGCACATATCAGCTCGGAGTGGGTTTGCATAACCTGTGAACTGGGCACGGGACCGACACTCAAGGAGTGTCGGAGATGCGAGGTGCGGAAAGAGTAGCAGGAGTGTGCGCAGGATGTTGGGCTTCCGGGTCATCAGGGGTCTTAAGATGCAGACTGAACCCTGCCGACCGGGAGCCCCACATCCTGTTTGGAGCCGGTCTTTGGGTCGAATCTGTGTCGCTGCCACGCGAATCATGGGAAGCCTGCCGACCATCGTGAAGCTGCAACCTGTAGATTCCCGTACATAAAGGGGAATGGTAGCCTCCAGTAGCTGGGTGCAGGTTTCCGAGAGTGTGCAGTTCGACACTTTCAATACTTGGCTTGATCGCCGGGGCAGGCGTATTCGTGTCACTGAACTTCGAGAAAAATTTCGAAGCAGTGTCCAGTATTCTTTGTTGTTCAATGAACTAAATACTAAAGGTACGGAACTCGCAGTACATATCAGACCCTCCAACTCCGCTACCCTTGAGCCAGATCGTCAGCCATTAGGTTTGTGTTTGCTTTTGTTTTGGGGAAGGTGCTGACCACTGAAGCTTGTTGACACTCGTTTGGTTTTCAGCGCTTGGCAGTCTGCATGCCGTGCAATGACGCATGTCGGGTAACTTAGTCAAAAGGTAAGTGCGTCTCAGCTCGGCGTGCTTCTGCTTTTAATTATTTGGAGATGTAAATATTTGAACTTGGCCACATGTCTTGATTCAGAAGTCATGAACTCAAGAAGTGCTGTAGCAGAGTAGCAGGATTGTAGGGCACATGCAACTGGTGGATGTGTGGCCTTCCATTGCTATTACTCCGAATTCCTGGTCAGAGGTCGCTTTCCTTAGGGTGCTGTGCAAGAGCATACGGATGCAACACTGCTCAGGAGGTTGAGGGTCAGAGACCCTTTGTACAGGTACCTCGGTACCTCCTGAGATGCAGTATTGCTCTACCCTGCCGGAAGACTGCCGCGAATCCTCCAGGCAGCTCGCAGACCGCCAGAAGTCTCAGTGAGCCTCTTCTTTGAGCTCAGACTGACCCAGTCTAAGACTGTCTAGACAACCCGACTCCCCTTCCCTTCCTTGCGTTTGCCACGGGGTTTGCCGCGCTTGTCTGCGTCTCCTTCCGGCAATTGACCCGTCCTTGCATTTGAATTTTTCCGTTGCCGAGGCTGGAGCATAATTTGTGCATATTCAGAGGCCTTCCCTCCCTGCTTCCTGCTTCCCCGTCGCGAAGCTTCGAGGGCTTCACAGGGGAGCAGGCCCCAAGACCGAGGGGCCACATGCACTCTATGCTCCATGGCCTCCGGTGACACGGTGAGTGTGGCAGCCTGTGTGCCCAAGACTAGCTCTTTCCGTAGCACCGTGTGTTCGATTCAACGGCACACGCAGGCTCGCCTTCTTACTAGCATGGTCATGGCACCGCATGCTGGCCACTTTGCCAAGCCCCGGGATCCTGCTGTTTTCCTGGATGAAAGTAAGGGTTCAACACTCCGTTTTTTCGATCCCAGGCTCTGGCCGAGTGCCATGTGGAACCAGCATGTGGGGCTGTGTATACCTGGTTAGCCTACCGGTACCCGGTGCCGGCTGGTGAGTCCCAGTTCGGGGTGGAGGAGGAGATGACCTACGAGGTGAAGCTCCATTCCTGCACACGAGTGCTTCTCGGCCGCACCTCTGCTTCTCTTCGTGTTGCGACTCGCGACTCGCGACCTCTTGCTTGCGTCGCGGTGTCCGAGGCTTAAACTTACCCCGTGTCTCGGCACACGCCGGCATCTGCGCGTTCCTTTCCGTTGCCGACAGTCTGAGGAGGGGGGATGTTTAGAGCCTTCGAAGGATGGTTCCGCAAAGACGTCTTCCAACACTCTGGGGGTTTGCAAGTCCGAAGTCCAGAGCTCTTTCCAGGCCATATGTTGCACCGTAGGGTAGGGCATGACATTTAGGACATATTGCCGTGGCCAGCCCTTCAGAGATCTCACCCTTCCATATACTTGCGATGCAAGCAGAACCCAGAATACAGAAAAGGGCGCCAGCACGGCCTGCACAAGCATCAATCTCGTTCCTGGAGGCCTACATTACTCGATGCTTGCCCGGACGATGGCAGACAGTTTGCTCTTCGCATGATCATTCAAGCTGGAATTCAGTTCATTGGTTTAGTAATGGTATCTGTGGTAGCAGAGTTTCGCAGGTGCGCCTCTGCGAGTCTTTCCAGATGCCTCAGTCGCAATTCCTGAAGGTGCCCAAGCTGTTGCAGTTCTGGCAAACGTTTGCCCGTGTGAAGCAAAAAGGAATCGAAGCCGCGCCGGTGTTCTCGGCTGCAGGCCTTCGTGAACACCGAGACTTGTTTGATGTTCCTCGCCCTTGGAAGCTGAGCTGAGCCGGGCTGAGCCGGGGATAAGAAGCGGCCTGCGCAGTTGGCGCAATCCGAACGCCGGGGAAACTCTGGAAAGTTCAGGCTCCGAAAGCGGAGGTGCTGACTTTGAAAGGGACAGCACCCTCTTTCGAGCTCGAGGAGGGCCCATCGAGAGTTGTTACAAAGGAAAGATGGGTAAGTGGATTACTTCATCAACAACTCTTGAGGCTCAGGCCAGGGCCTGTGTTCAGTTTAATGCATGTCTCTGCTGAAGGCGAGCTGGGCAAGCTGCAGACCAGCTTGAACTGGTCTCATGCACGAAGTGACATGTGAATACTGAATACCGCAGTGGCTACGCTGCTACGCTCTCAGCTTTTGTCATTCTGAGCGAGTCCTGCAAAGCAAGACTTCGTCCAGACAGGCTTACCTGCCACAGATGCAAGAGACTCTTCAGTGGAGTTAGCAAAGTGACTGTGGCTGTGAAGGTCAGGCAGGGCCCCTCGGCGAGGGGGGTGCCTGTGGTTGTAAACGTCCGCGCAGGGCAGAGTCCCGCCGGACTCCGTAGGATTCGGGATGCAGAGGGCCACCTGAATGGAGCACAACGATTGGAAACGTAACGGCAAGTACCACGTCGCCATCGACGTGGCCATTCGATGAAGAGCAACATTTAGCCGACGACGTCAAGGACGTAGCTGCATAGCTGATGATACTGTAGCTGATGTAGTCATCTCTGTAAGGCTCTGAGCAGGCAGTCGGTGCTCAAGGCACGCTGGTGCTCCAGGTTCCACTGTCGCGGGGGCGCGCGGCGAAGAACGGCGATGATCGTTTTTCTTGGCAAGAGCGCTCACCAGCAGTGGCCTTGCAGCGAGCTTCGCCTACGCCACTGCCAGCCTCTCTTGAACTCGCAGAGCTCGGGAGTGGTAAAGGAGAGCGAGATGTGATCGTCCGCAGTGCTGAGACGGCAAACGTGGCAGAACGCCCTTTAAGATTGGAGCAGATTTGATTTCTTTGGCTAAGCCGCACCCAAGCAAACTCTCCAAAGCCACAGGTGGCTGCAACGTGCATACCGAGTTCTGTGGCAGAAACCGGGGGTCGCACGCAAGTATCACGCTGCCGTCTAGCAGCCGTGCTTGGTTCACGTCGCATATCCCTTCCTCGCGGAAGTTATCTGCATGGCTTGCGCTGGTCTCGGGACATTTTGCGGTCTACTGCAGTGCCCACGAGAATGTACATGCAGCTTGCGGCAACCAAGTTGCCACATGAGGTGACCTTTGGGATCGGGTGCCTGAGTATTCAGAGGCAGCCTGGAATCACAGCTTCTTCTGAACAGCGCTTGTCGCACAAGTGACTGCATACGACCGTTGCCTTCCATGCTTGCAATGTCGAATTTCACGAGAAGTTCCGTTGAGATTGCTCCTTACTATTACTATTATTATGACTATTAGTGTTATTATTATTGTTACTGTTGTTGTTACTATTGTTGTTACCTGTGTTTCGCTATGCCGCTATGTGCCACTGAGGCGCTCGCATGGTGTCATGGCCCCGTGCCGAAGGCTCCTTTGTTCGTGTTCCTGGGAGTTCTGGGACTAGTTCAGCCTTTTGAGGGTTGTGGGTGAGTGCAGAGCCCTCCTGTTCGATCCAGAATGATACTTTACAAATCCCGCTGGCTTGACACAGCAAGGGTAGCCTCACTCGCATGATGATCGCTGCTGCTTCGGCTTAGCTCACCCAGTCTTCGGGCATTGTACGTGCTGTGGCCCACCTGAGCCTCGATACCGTGGACAACAGTACCTGGGACTGCAGTCGAACCGGCAGCTGGAGAGATTGGTCGAGCAATGGCTCCTACTCTAAGGCCATGTATCGGCGCGAGGATATCAACGTCAGCAAGCTCTTGACGAGGCCTTTGTCACTGTCGTTCAGCTGGAGGGAAAGGGGAGCGACGGAAGCTTTGACGCGGCCTCTGACCGTCATGTTAGCACAGGCTGCCAAAGGCAGTGAGGACCAAGGTCCTCGCCAAGGACGTGGGTTGCCCCTTTTTGTTGCTCCTCTCGAGTCCTCAGTGCCCGAGGGCAGAAGTTTATGCTTCTGCATTTTATGCTGTGCCTTAGAGAATGCACCCTGGCCCTGAGGAGTTTGTTGACGAGTGCCACGGATGAACTCAGAGTTCCCGATTTCGCTCCAGCACGGATGATGTTGTAAGCAAGGTGCTGGGCAATCTTCAAGAAGTACGATGCCTGTCGGCAGCAAATTGTCCATGCGGACGGTGATTCTGCCGGAGCCCCTCGGCAGAGGCAGCCGGCAACCTCAGGTTTTTCAGCACGAGAAGTTGGAGGGCGTGAACCTGTGGAAAGCACTCCTCGAGGCAGGGTTCCGCTAGCACGAGAAACCAGACAGCAAATGAGCACCAGGCTGTGATACTGTTCCCCAGCTAGACGACCTACCACAAGCAACCGATGAGGTTATAAAACTCAGAAGGTCTTCCTCGGGATGACTGATTGGGCGGGTTGCAACTGCAAGTGTGGCTGGATCATACATTATGTAATTTACTATAACTTGAATTACTTTGACGTTCTTCCGCCATCTCCGCCTCACCACCCATGGCGACGTGCCCGTGAGGCTCTCCCGGAGTCGTTTTCGCAGGCCATCCTCAAGAACCAGCCGCTCGGAGCTCTGCAAAGACGGGAGGCTTTGAGCTTCAGGATTCAGGCTACTTGTAGGACTAGAAGATCTGTTGACCTTGCCGGAGTCTTGCAGATTCCCTGTCGAGCAGTTTCAGTTGAGTCCAGGCACGGCTGGGCTTTGCAGCAAGATTCCGTGTATGGGTTCACTGGGTGCGGTCGCGAAGGGGAGCCAGCACCTTGGCATGATGAGCAAGCTGCCCGGATGCGGGCCATTTTCGCCGTTTGTTCCTGCAAATGTACGGAGCAGGACTGGATTCAGATCCACTCTGCATTGCATCTCAGGCAATCTCCCTCATCAAGTTCCCCGAGTATGTGAAGTTCACTCTGGCGCTCATCCTCCACAAATATAGCACCAAGTCTGCAGTGACACCCTGTATTTTCGGCAAAAGCGGGGCTCGTTCGCCCAAGCAACACTGCTTCCATCACTTGGAAGACTTAGTTGTCGGGGCATCTGAGAAGTCCTCCCACTTTCCAGAGCTGCCCAAACTACGAGGTGTCAACGGAAAAGTCCTCGACTGCAAAATGGCGCTGAAGTCTCAGGACTGGGGGGTTGTTGGCAGATCTACTGGACGTGGGATGGGCATCCGAGTGGTTTCCGGGCGGAGTGCATGCATGCCGAAAGTAGTCGAAATGAGAAGAGGGTCCCACATCGGCTCTTTACGGGTGGCGATGCTTGTCTCCGAGCTTTGTCCGAGCTGTGAGAACGCCTCCAACAGAGGAGCTGGATCACAGCAAGCGTGCAGGGCTCAGCAATGCGACAGCCTTTTGTCGGTGTGCGTTCTTTTGAAGGAGCTGGCAGGTCACAGTTGGGATTTACTTTCAGGCATGAAGGGTTGACAGCAGCTGTGAGGACTCGCATATATGCTGCATGTCTCACGGACAGCAGGCTGTTGCGGCTGGGGGTCACGGAGAGCCATGTCAGCCATATCCGAAGCCTCGTGCGGACTGAAAGATGAGCCCCCTTCAGGAAAGACAAAGATCGTCGCAAGCCTGGGGCCAGCGTCTTGGAGCGAGGACAGGGGAATCGACAATGCCATTGCGTTCCCCCCGCCGCGCCTTTTGCTTGGCAGGAGTAGTGGGTTGGATGCAATCTCCACGCATTCGTAGTCGTGCGAGTCGTAGTGACAGTGGCAATGGCAGTCGTAGCGGTGATGGTGGCGGTCGGCGGTCGTGGTCGTGGTCGTTGGTGGTGGTGGTGGTGGTGGCAGATGTTGTGGTGGTGGTGGTGCTGGTGCTGGTGCTGGTGCTGGTGCTGGTGCTGGTGCTGGTGGTGGTGGTTGTTGTTGTTGCTGCTACATCGGCAACCTTGGCCTTTGCAGCCTCCCAGTTTGTATCGTCCGAGTGGCGAGGGCATCAAAGTAATAGGAAAGATCGCAAGATCTAAGTGGGGCACCGGCGAGACAAAGCGAAAGTGGCCTTGTTGCATGCAGGAGATGATCCCCAAGATGATCGAAGCCGGAACAGACTCTTGGCTGGGCTTTGCCGCGTTTTCGCTTTGCAGAGGGGGCTTGAGCAGCAGCCCTTCCGTGCAGTTCAGAGGTTACGCCTAGGCTCTTGTTGCGGTGTTGTTGGGAGTGTGGGACTGTTTTTGTTGCCCCCGTGCGGCCACGACAGGACATTTTCCGCTTGAATTGCTCGCACCGCCGTGGTGGGGACTTCGAGCGAGTCTATCCGCTGATTCGGCCGCTTGTCTGGAAAAGCACCCAGCCTGGAGCTATGCGCGACTCTGGTGGTTGCTTCTACATTGGCACGTGTGCAGGTCGCAGTAAACTTCATGATGATCAGGAACTCTGTCATGGGGATGCGCTTTGGTCTGCCCATCCTTTTGGGCTCAGACCTCCCTCCAAAAAGGAATCTCACGGCAACGGAGCTGTGAATCCCACCCGAATGCCCAAACCACATCCCTCGCAGCATCCCACTTCATAGGGAGCCCACATCGAGCTGTCAGGAAATATGCGAGGATGCTTGGCCGACGCGTGGAGGTGCTGGGAGACCTGCAGGCCCAGGAATGTTGTCGGGCCCTCCTCCCTCCTCCCAAGACTTTTGGACAATCCCCACTAGTATCGCCCCTGTGCCAGGGACCCAAATTCCGCGTGGGCGAGCTTGCCGGTGAGCCTGTTCCTCTCGTGGATGGGGAGATTGTAGAGTTCGGCATCTGCAAGGACCGTGCTGACCGCGGCTGTGGCCGCCAGGTGATCCCAAGCAAAGTCACACATCGTGCTCGGAGGACGACACCGACCTCATCAAGCCTGGACGCATCACGATGAAGCCGACCAAAGAACAGCTGGCGCTGGTGAAAGCATGCAAGGTTGGAATTGAGCCCCGCCAAACCTATAGTGTGTGTATGTGCAGCGAACTGGTGTGCACATGTTTTGATGTAATGATAGATAGAGTAGCGAGACGTCAGTCACCAGCCGAGGATCTTCTCATTGAGGATGGCATCATGAAGGCACGGCCTGGAAGCGGTCAGTGTGCTACAGGTCCAGGCGGAGGTTGTCGAGCAAAGTGCATAGCACAGCACAGTTGAAGGGCAGGGCAGAGCAGCTTTGATGCTCGTGTGCCTTAGATATGACTTTAGCCGTTGTCCTATGGAGTCCTATTGACGGAGCCATGCAAAATAGGCAGAAGCGAATGAAGCCAGCTGCCTTGCTCGGCTAAACCACGCCATGCAGCCGGGAAGGAGTGCGAACGAGCGAGAGTGCGGAAGAAAGCGACGAAGCGGAGACAGACCGAGAGAGAGGGAGACAGAGAGAGAGCAGCACACATCCTGTGCTCGGCTGCAGGTCAACGTTGTGGAGAAGATTTCAGACACCGAACTTTTGCTGCAGTTTGCTTCTGGGGTTGGCTTCTTTGGGCCTCCGTGTTTTGGAAGCCTTCCCCATGCTCTGCAAGGAGCTGAAGGTGAAGGTCGTCCGCGGTGGAAAGCTGAAGGCCACCATCTAAGTCGAATCTAGGTTTAAGATAGTTGAAGAGAGGTGAGGCATCGCTAGTAACACGAAGCATCGCAGTGACGATGCAGAAGAACAGTACTTTACTTGTACCGGCACAATGATAAGAACGACAAATTTCTAGTAAAACCGCTGGAACACCGCAGCAGTCAGCAGCTGCAGCAGCCACAGCCACACCATCGAGGCGCGAACCGCACAGACGCCTACACCGACTTCAATAGATCCAGTCCTACTCGCTTGCGAAGATGCCAGGCCCGCAAAGGCGTGAATGTGCCTGACTGCGAGATCGACTGCGCCGCCCTCACCGAGAAGGTGCGAGAGAACTTGTGAGGTCTCGTGAAGTAATGTCAAGCCGCGAAAGTCCTTTCCGGACCTCGTGCTCACTGCCAGGACATTGAAGATGCTGAATATTTGCTGCAGCTGGAACCTCCAGTCGAGTACATTTGCGTTCGGCCCTCGGACTTGTTGCACTTGGCTCGATGCGCTCTGCCAACCTGCTTTCCCAAAGCCTGAGCCAGGTGTCCTTTGCCCAGAAGGGCCAGGATTTGCAAGAACTTATTGACATCATGGACCGGTTGAAGGTTCCAGCCGAGAAGCGACCGCAGCTTGGACTGCACTGCGATGGGCGTGTGTGTTCTTTAAACGAGGGCCACCTCAAAGGAAGCAGTAGCTTCCGGCAGTCGGCACCATTAGCGGTGCTGCTGAAGAGCGAATAAATCTTTCTAAAGTAAGCGGCAAGGCGATCAATTTTCGAGGCTGGTCTGCCAGTCTCACAACCGCTAGGACAGCGAACACGCAGCCTGCAAAGTCTTAGGGGGACTGTAGCAGCAGCAGCTGCAGATGGTGCTGGTGCTGATCGCTTTGGTCGTCGTCGAGTTCTATTATTAGTGTTTGCCACGATGCGAGAATAGCATTCAGCAGGCTTACACACCACCCTGCTTTCTTGGCTTGCTGAGGAAAATTTGCCCGAAGATTGAGAAGCCACAGGCCCTGACCAACATCGAGGGGATCATTGAGAAGTCTCAGGCACTGATGGTGGCCAGGCCGGGCACGGCAGTGGAACAAAGCATGTTATGGAGCCTACTACACTAGATTAACACATCTTGTGTGTCGAAGTGCACTGCCTTTGCACCCAGACGTGGGGATGCCAAGGGGTGACTTGGGCGTGGAGCTCGAGCTGGAGCGAGTCCCCTTCGCCCAGAAGTTGCTCATCGCCCGTGCCAAGAAGGCTCAATTGCGGCTGCAGGGTCTAAGTCCTAGGTTTCCTCATGGCTGACTCGGAGTTGAGGCTTAAACTTAGGTTTTATGCTGTCGCGTTTTCTGAGTTTACGGCATTTTAGCATGTTGCGCCTAGGTGTCCTGCTTGGGTAGTCGTGGAACTTTCTTACTGGTCCGGTCTGGTTTTTTAGGTCGTTGAAACGGGGTACTCGTGACTGTCGTCTTATTGTCTTGAACTCATTGTCGCTTGCTTGACCACTTTCTGCTGCGAGTGAGTTTCTGATTGCTTTGTATGCGGCTACTTCATCGTGCGAACCTTCGGCTTCCGGTGTTCTCAGTGACCAGCTGGTTCCGCCAAGGTGTGATGGAGTGAGAGTGTTTTAAGCTTGGGGTTTGCGGCTTCAGTCTTACATTGGGTTGGCTTATACAAGTTTTTTCGTGGTACCGTTTTTGCCAGGCACATCGTTCTGGCACTGGGTTTTGGTCTAAGGGCGTGCAGTTAGGCGACGGTTTGGAGACGAGAATCCTTGGGCTGCCAGGCTGGTCTCTTTGTCATCAATGCTACTCAGATGGTGGTGGCTCGGTTTCATGTTCCAGCCAAATGATCGAGTTCGTCGAACTCAAACATTGTGGTTCTCAAACCTCGCACTGCTGTTGGACTAGCCGTGGATCGGGTTTCCAAGCAGGCAGCTGTTGCCAGGCATAACACACCGCGGCGAGTTGCCGGTGGGCTTTGCGACTGATGTTCATGGCCGACTCACGGGAGTATTCAGTCTGCTAGGCTGCTCGCCATTATTACCATTATTATTACTATTATTATTATTATTACTACTACTATTATTAAAGTTTTTGCTTCCTGGGGCTCAGGAAAGCATGATCGAGAACCCCGTGCCGACTCGAGCAGAAGTGAGCGACTTGCAGAACGCCGTGCCTTTTTGCAGCACGGAGCGGACAGCAGATTTAACCAGGTATGGTTTCCATGGTGTAGTAATTTATAATTAACAGTATTAATAGTAATCATAATAATATCCCCAAAATGCCTGAGGACCCATGTAAAAACCCTATACTATACGCAAGCTGCGACACGAACTTCTGTCCAAAGCCTAAAAATTTTCCAGTCCCCGAGGTTCGACGGCTGCGACGCCGTGATGCTTTCCGGCGAGGCCGCTAGCGGCAAGTACCCCTGCGAGTCTGTGAAGGCAGAGGCCGACGCGGTGGGGGCCCCGGATGCAAGAAGAGTTAGATACTACGTAACATATACTGTACTACATAGTGGCATTTATATACAGTATAAAGTAATTGAGTGAACCAATATGTAAATGTACATATGTGTAGGCTCATATGTTTATATGCTATAATTTGTTATGTCTCGTTAGATCTTGTGCACTGTACATAACATTGGGAGCTGGAGCTGGCACGGCAGACGCATCGGGGCCGGAGTGCATCCAGGCTCTGGTAGTAATGGGGCTTTCCGATATTTCGGGCTAAGCGGGGGCACCCTGTTTTTTGGAGGTTCAGTATAGTAGCCCCAAAAGGTTGATAGTCGGCTTCAAGAGCGAGAAATCAAGAGAAAGCCTTCCACCCGCACAAATAAATAGATACATACACACACACATATATATATATACAGATACACATACATATACATAAACAAAAAATATATAGATATCTGTAGATAGTATGCATAGAATCACTTGTGACAACAGTCCGCTGCGACGAGGTCCTCGAGGCGGAGACGGTCCGAGACTTCCTGAAGCCGCAGGCCGTCATGGCAAATAAGCCTCAGACAGATCATTATTGTTATGATTGTTATTAGTGTATTATTGTTGTTACGATCTTTGATTGTTTCAGCCTTATTGTTATGATCCCCCTGAGCTCCAGAACAGAGTTGATCCGGAAAAACAGATGTCAACAACTGCAATGTGCTGCAACAGCCAATGCCTTTGATTGAAAGACGAGCCTTTGGAGGTCCCGGATGGCGCCATCGTGGACGAAGCCAACAAGCCCAGAGAGCTGGATGAAGCTCGGCCGACATGTGCATGAACCTGTAGAGTTGTTTTTACCTCGGTTTGGATGTGCTACGGGGGCACTCGATAGGTTTGCCTGCGAGTTGAGAAGAAAGAACTTGAGCCAACGATGTCAGCTTCGTTTCCTCGAGTGTTTGGGCCTCGGCCTCGGCTTTCGTTTAAGACAAAGCAGGTGGATTAACTTCAAACGTAGCAGTCATCATCGAAGCTTGTCCGGAGCCTGACCGTGTCTCGCCCGATCCCGCGCAGTCCAGGCTCTTGGTTTGCAGTGTTTTGTTTGGTCCGGCACCTTTGCTATCGAAGTTTTATGATTAGTATGCTGAACGTGTTTGTGGGCCGCTTCGGTGCAGTAGGTCGAGACTGAGACGGAGCTAACCGGTCGAGAAGTTTGCTGGTTCGGACACTCACTAGTCCGACGACCTGTGCAGTGTAGACGATATCAGCCGGATTCATTCGGATCCCATAGTGGTCCCCCCAAGTAGCTAAGTAGCCCTTCACCCTCTTTTTGGAGGCTTGGAGCCCCATCCGGCTCTCCTGTAGCAATAATATAGTACTAGTACGCAATAGTGGTCAAATTGCAACAAGAAATAATAAGAACGATAGTAAACATAATAATAAGAATAGTACACTAGTAATAGTTATCGCGATAGTAATGGAAATAGTAATCGCAATGGTACTGGTACTCGTTATAGTACTAGTAGTCGTAACAGCATAGTAGTGACGATAATGATCGGTTTTGTTTTAACTACTGTAAGAGCCCAAGCCCAAGCCGTCCAGGACAGCAAGCGGGCGACCAAAGTCGTTGCTTCTCTAGGGCCGGCTTCCTGGAGCGAGGAGGGCCCCGTCCTTCTAAAGGGCACGTTTTGCTTGTAGAGCACTACAACATATTGCTCATATTATAACATGTTTTGCTGTATAATATTTTAGTAACACTACCAGTATATACACACACACACACACATATATATATATATATATAGACATGGTATATAAACACACACACACACACACACACACACGCACACACACACACACACATATATATATATACATATATATATATGTATATGTTTATACATATGTATATGCTTGTAACAATATAGCATATTATAGGCCAAAATTGTATATACGTATGTAAAGCTTAAGTTATTATGTATATTACATATGTGTAGGTAATGTATTATACATAGTAAAGAATACTTATATATATATATATATAAGAATACACGCACATACAACATGATACATGATATCTAATGTAGCTGTTGGCCTCCCTAGTCGTCGTAGCTCAGATCGTGTCTGACATGATGGGGGTAGACAAGTACTGGAAGTATGAAGAAGAAGAATTGCTGCTCGCGCTTCTGCGGGAGCCAATGTTCGATCGTGGGTGGTGTAGGGGAAGCACTACGACTTCCGTTCGAAGTGCTAACATGTGGTTTACCCAGCCGTTTCGTGGTTGATTTCAAGCAAACTTCACCGCAATCTTTTTTGCTTGGTTCCGGGGCACATCTGTTCGGTACGTACTTGTTCTTACTCACGAAACCCAATTTGTTGGTACGAGACGTTGGCCAAAGCGGCATCGTCACTATTCTGGGGCAAAGTGGTATCGCTGTCGCAAAGCTTCCCTAAACGTATCTGATTCGAGGGCTGATCCGACATCATGCTAAGGTAATGCTGGGAATGACCAGGTACTTGAGATGTGACAAGTCACACGTCACGTGACAAGAGCCACCTCCAAAATCGTAAGGTGCTTGGTGCCGCAGTGGTGCTCGTCTTCGTCGTTGTCATGCTGGTAGTGGTACTGGTGGGTTATCCTTTAGCTTCGTCTTGTCATCACAGCTCGCAGTACAAGGTTTAGCAGCAGTAGCAGTAGCAGCAGATGAAATGGCAGTCAGGAGTACTCAGTAGTAGTGGATGCATGAATCAAGAGGCGAGGGGTCGTTTTCTTTCAGAGGTGCCCCTGCGATGACTAGCTACATGAAGGCCCCATGTTTTCTGAGAGTCCCTGCACTGCAGGAGATGATTCCCAAGATGATCGAGGCCGGAACGAACATCTTCCGCTTGAATTGCTCGCACCGCCGCGGTGGTGACTTCGAGCGCGTCTACCCGCTGATCCGCAAGTACGCCAAGGAAGTCTCCGAGGGGCTGACAGCGCACACCCAGCATGTCATGCCCGGCATGCAGAGTTCAGAGTGCCTGTTTGTTGGAAGCAGAGGAGATGGGAAAAACCGTCGAGTGCCTCGGTGACCTCCAGGGGCCCAAGTTCCGCGTTGGCGAATTAGCAGGCCGGGCCGGGCCGGAGGGTTCGTCTCTCGCCGGGCTTTCGGCTGCTCAATCGACAGTTCTTGTTCCCAACTGAATCCAAGTGAAGTCATTATTCATTCTTGGAGCTTGACATCCCATGCTACATCGCTGGGCCGAGCCGACGGCCACGAAGCCATGCCGATGCAAGGTGAGCCTGTGGAGCTGAAGAACGGTGACATTCTGGAGTTTGGCCCCTCGAGCTGCAAAGATCGCCTGGCTGTCAAGAACTCGACAACTTGCGTATACACTGAGGCATCAGTAAGGACGACAACGACAACATCCGACCCGGCCGGATCACCATGAAGCCGACGACGGAGCAGACGGCCCTGGTGCAGGCCTGTGGCCTGGCAGCAAGCTGAGCCTGCACATTCGGCAACAGGGCATTGTTTGTCAATCTTGAGCCCCGGGCTCACAAAGACGACCTTGGTCCAAAGTCCTGGAAGTTGCGCCAGCTCTTTACGCTGCGAGTTGGACCCTGCACATACAATCCTGCCGAAACACTGCTTTGCGGCCGCTGCTGGGTCTGCTCGGCCACTGCTAAGACCTGCATGCTGATATTGAGCAGCTTTGTGCCTGTACCGAGGCAAACCAGGTACCCCACTGCTGTTGGAAGATGGAATCATGGAAGTGAAGGCTTCGTCGGGGCACACAGCCTGCATGTCTGAATGTCATCTACCCACCCCCACGTAAGCCTTAAACTGTTAACCAAGTAGGAGGCCTTCTGGCAGAAGGCCAAATGTGGCTGCCGAAACAAGGCATGCTGGCGTGAGTGTGAGAGTCGAACCAAACCTGTTGCCATCTGGGTTCAAGTGCCAACCTCGCGGCATACGCGTACGTGTAGAAGTATTGTAGGCTCTCACCTGTACGTGGGTAGTGAAAACCTGTTTCGGCCGCTGCATCTGCTTTCTCCAGCCGAGCTATGGCGGGACCCAAGGTGAAGTACGACATTGAGATCAAGAAGATGTGCAAACAGGCCATCGCCGGATCCACGGATGTCAAGGACAAAGAGCAGAAGGTCCTGGAGGCTTTCAACATGTGGGATAAGGATGCCAGCGGTTACATCTCCAAGGATGAACTGTCAACGGTGTTAAGCGCCCTTGGGTGCTCCACGACAGAGGTAGATCTGAACGTGATGTTGAAGGAGGCCGATTTGGACATGGATGGCAAGATCAACTACGAGGAAATGGTGCAGTGGCTTTGCCGTGCCCCACATCTGGAGCAGTACTTCCTCCTCTCCCTGGACATTTTCCAGCGCAACTTCAAAGACGTGGATGCCGGGGTGCTGAAGGTACAGAAGGAGATGCTACAGATGCAGCAGGACTTTGATAACAGCCCTGAAGGTGCGGACGAGACTGTTGCCATGAGAAAGTGCCTCGGGATCCTGCGGAACTTGAGGACCATGATGGAAGAAGTGCAGCAAACCACCCAGAAACGTATCGATGATGAGCTGACACCCGTGATCAAGAAGACCTTCCAGTACCACGACAAGGACAATAGTGGCACATTGACTTATGATGAGGGCATCATTTTCTTCTCCAACTTTATCGCTCTCTGGGAGCCCTTCGGGGAGTTGATGTCGGAGCTGAACTGTGCGCAGGTGGCCATGATGCAACGCGTGGATTCGGAGGCCGAGGATGATAACTTGGACAACACGAAGCATCTGGCACAAGAGAAGGCGAAGTTGGTTACCCCCGATAAGCTTCATGCAGCTTTCAAGCAGAGATATGCTGTCTTGAAGGGGAAGCACAAAGAAACCATGGACGCCGATCACAAGGCAGCGTTCGAGGTGCTCGCCGGCACGGATGGTAAAGTGACAGAAGCTGCTGTGGTCGAGGCGCTTCTGCACGGTCATGAGAAGAACAGCGAGTTCTTGGCTGCTATGGGCCTTGCTGTGGAGGATGTAATGAGGGCCGCAGAGAAGCAGTGCAAAGAATTGAGTGGCGACCTGGAGAATATCCAGGAGGCCCTCAAGGAGTTGGGCCAGGCTTCCACGGAGATGGGGGCCTTGCGATTCGACACTCCGATGCCGGTGGCCATCAACGAGACGGAGGATGTAGGTGACTGCCAGATGCAATGAGGGCACTGACTTCACGCCCAAGGTGTGAGGTTGAGGCGTTTTCAAGTCAGGGCTCCGACAAGGGAGCTTCCATCATGCGGTCCATGATGCTGACCCACCTGGAGATTGGTTCGAATGTGTTGAAGAGGTAGGTGCGGTGTCATGTGTGGCCCGAGCCAACTTCCACCTGCACGAAGAATATCCGGTCGGCTGTGGGGAGTGTGGAGAGTGTAGTTTCACCCTGCATTCGGCCGACGCTGTCCGGATGCTACGGCCAAAGTGCCCTAGTCGTCTCTCGGACGCTCGCGTTGCAGTGCCTTAGCTGTGCCTCATGCCGAAACCCACACCTGGTCCCGAGTCTGCCTTTTGCAAAGAAGCGTGACTTGACAGGTCGTAGAGAAGTGCTCCGAGAGCGAGCTCAAGGTCGAAGCACCTCGGCTGGCAGGGGATGCTCGAAATTTGCATCCAGACAAATCATAACGGATCATCACGGCATTATTGAAGGTGTTGGAGTAGTTCCGCATCGGCCGAAGAAGGAGTTGCAAGACATTATTGTTCCTGGTCTCTGAGCTTAGCTTGTTCTCGCTGACGGCTGCTCTCCAGGTCACTCGAGGTGGCAAGCTGAAGGCACGCAAGGGAGTGAATGTGCCGGACGTCGAGATCAACTGTGCCGCGCTGACAGCGAAGGACATCGAGGACCAGTGAAGGGCCCCGCTTGTGCACAAGCGACATGAATCGTATCTTGCCAGACCGTTGGGCGTGCCAAGTAGGCATGCGCCTGAATGGAACTCCATCTGCGCCACGGGAGTTTGGGCTCTCTGACCCACAGTCTGCCTTCGTGGCAGGATGCAGAGTTCCTGTTGCAGTTGGATCCCCCTATCGAGTACATTTGCGTTTCGTTTGCTCAGAAAGGCCGCCAACTCAGACTTCTGAGACCTGCGCATTTTACCGAGAGACTGCCGTGTGCATCTGCCCCGGCAGCTGAGGTCAAGACCTGCAAGAGCTCATCGACATCATGGACCGTCTCAAAGTTCCTGCAGAAAAGAGACCCAAAATTTGCCCGAAGATCGAGAAGCCACAGGCCTTCACCAACATTGAGGGCATCATCGCGAAGTCTCAAGCCCTGATGGTCGCCCGCGGCGACCTGGGCGTAGAACTGGGGCTGTGCCGCGTGCCTTTCGCACAGAAGCTGTTGATCCAGCGCGCCAAGCAAGCGGGCCTGTTCGTGATCACCGCCACACAGATGGTCGAGAGCATGATCGAGAACCCGGTGCCGACTCGAGCGGAGGTGTCCGATCTCATGAACCTCTGTGGCACATAGAAAGGCTCAGGTTACGGGGCGCTTTTTTGTTAAAGAGCCAGAGAGCCGGAGAGCCGGAGCTGCTTAGGAATGCTGTTTGGGATGGCACGGATGCCGTGATGCTGTCCGGAGAGGCAGCAGACGCAATCGCAAATCAGTTTAAGGGTCAGTCTATTTCGGCTAGCAGTAGCCCTCCTGAAAGATTCCCTCATGCTTGCGAGATCACGGCAGGGAGGCTTGCGAGGCAGACCGTAGAGCCCCTTCACATCCCTTGACCTGCGAGGCTGCCAGTGGCAAATATCCCTGCGAGGCCGTCATAGCCGAAGCATCCGCGACTCGCGAGGCTGGGTGATAATACAGAAGCTTAAATTACGTAATTTCAAGCACTATTCCTTTGCGCGCCCTACCCTAAAAACCCTGATCTTATTTAAACCTATATCCAGGCTTCTTTAGTACTTGGTTGGCTCCGGGCCGACCTTCGGAATTCGCTGCTCAGGCTGAGACCGTGAAGCACCGCTTGCAGCAAGCCTGCCCCTTCGTGGTCTCCCGGCAATATGGATGCCAGCAAGAGGGCTTATTAAACAAGCCATGTAGGTGGTGAGTGATTTGTTGTTCACCAAGTTCTGGAAAGTCCTGTGAGGCCATCAACAGCAAGATGCCGTTGCGACCACCCAAGATGGTCAACTGCGGCATGGGTCTCAAGAGGCAGGAGACAGACCACAGCAAGAGGAAGACCAAGGCCAGACCGAACCAACATGCACCTCTCTCTCTCTCTCTCTCCCCCTCTCCCCCTTGTTCCCTGTGGATGTGTGTGTTTGTGTACAATGAGCATGCGTTTGTCTGAAATTCGTGCCAACTTGTCCCGCCCCTCAACGCAGGATGCTCCTCCGATGTCCGACTGGGAACCGTAAGACCTCGTATATCCTGTATCATATCGCATGACCTATCCTGTTCTATTCTACTGTGTTAGTGACTGTTAGTGTTGAGGTTTAAACTCGATCTGTTCGCGCTGTTCATCTGTCTTATCTGCCTAGCTGACATAAACGGACATGTGAAACCTTTGCGACCATAGAAGACACTTGAATGCAAATGCAGCCTTCTGCGAGTTGCGAGACAAGAAGCAAATACACACGTATTCTCTGACACACGCAGACACACGCGCTTCGTAAAAGTGTGTGTGTATGCAACTTGTGTATACACATATACATATGCAGTTCATAGTACATCTGTTCATATTTCTATATATACACACACAACCAAACCTGCAGACACAAATATATGTAAACAAGCGCGCACACACAATTGTCTGGATCTCTCTCTCTCTACTCTCATCTCTCTCTCTCTCTCTCTCTCCCTCTCTCCTCTCTCTCTCTCTCTCTCTCTCTCTCTCTCTCTCTCTCTCTCTCTCTCTCTCTCTCTCTCTCTCTCTCTCTCTCTCTCTCTCTCTCTCTCTCTCTCTCTCTTTTGTGCATGTATGCACATACAGCACTTACATATGCATGTGCAGGTACGGATGCATACTTGTATGCATGTATAGTTGAGTATATATATATATATATATGTATTGTGTGTATGCATCATCTGTATGTGCGTATTATGTACTGTGTATGTACGTATGCATGTATGTATGTATTAACGCATGCAAATCTGCATATGTATATGTACATTACTGCACATGTATATGCTTAAAGGTATTTCTGAGCTTCATAGTGTATACGTACATGCACACGTACTTACAGATGAACCCGCAGAATGCATCCTCATATCCCGCAGTTCACGCCCACATACATGCATGGCATGTGGGACACATTTTGCACATAATACTCATATATGCATATGTATATATGTACATCTGTATATGTACACGGACATGTACATATAACTATATGTGCATGTATATACATATATGCACATGCACACGTGCACACACACACACACACACGCAAATATTGTTGTTGAGTTTTACAACATCATCGTCCGTGTCCTCTTCGTCATCATCACCACCACCACCACCATTGCGCCCATCCGGACCATGACCATCCCCATCACCACCACCATCACCTCTTATCTCCATGGCCATCATCAGTATCCTCATCATTGCCTTTCCCGCAATCCTTGTTGGCGTTGTTGCACGGCTGGGTAGGTCGTGGCATCTTTGGGCCCCGCCTCCTGGAGTGAGGCGGCCATCTGTTCAACTTGCCATTCGGAGTTCACATGGTCAGACTGGGAGTTTAGCTGATGAGCCCCGGATTGCAGGGCTCACGTTTAAGGGTCAGTCGTTGAGTGGGCCCAAATTTTCTGTGGTCTTCCTCTTGTATGGAAAAGTGGTCTCTATTGTCGAGGATCGAATGGCTTTGAAGCATGCCGTGCACAGGAGATGATCCCAAAGATGATCCAGGCCGTGGCATGTGCATTTAGCCAAGCAGCAGGCGCGGGCAGGGGCCTGATACGCAGGCCGGCACCGACATCTTCCGGCTGAACTGCTCCCACAGACGCGGCGGCGACTTCGAGCGTGTCTATCCGCTGATCCGCAAAGCAGCAGCGGATTTGGGAAAGAAGGCGTCCTTTCACTATATTGAGCGGCATGAGTTCGAACATACCACTAGGGGCCGGGGGGAAGTTGCAGTCTTCGCGATGAAGCCTTGCGCTGCGGCGCGAGGTGGAATGCCTGGGAGATCTCCAGGGCCCAAAGTTCCGCGTCGGAGAGCTCGCCGATGAGCCCATCCCGTTGCTCCGCCGTTCTTGCGATGCCGCGCAGACGTGAGGTTGGAGACGTGCTTTGCAAAACCGAGGCTGAAGGATGGCGAGGTCCTGGAGTTTGGAATCTGCAAGGCCTTTGTGCTCTTAGCGGCAGCAGCAGCGCAATTCGTCTGAATGCTGCTGGATATTTCCGGTGTTCCTCAGCCATGTCAGGACGACAGCGACATGATCCGCCCTGGACGGATCACCATGAAGCCAACAATCGAGCAAAATGCTTTGGTTCGGGCCTGCATCGCAGCTGCAGTTGGGGGAGCTTCAAGGTCTGACAGTCTGCAGTTGCTTCGAGCTCAGGCAAGCCAGGCACCCCTTTGCTCCTCGAAGATGGCATCATGGAAGTGAAGGTGATCGAGAAGTGCTCTGACACGGAGCTCAAGGTGCAGGTGGTCCCTCGAGCTGCAAGCAGGACCTAAAGTGCAGATGCTTGAGTATGGGACTTGAGGGGCACTTGCTGTCAGGTTCGTGGCGGGAAGCTGAAGGCCCGCAAGGGCGTCAACGTGCCAGAGGTGCAGATCGACTGCGCTGCCCTGACGGAGAAAGACATCGAGGAAAGGGAAATTCCTGTCGCTTCACATGGGAAGCTGGAGCAGTGGACTTGTGTAATCAATCCTGCATATGCCTTCATGCATCTGCGTGCCGCCCTGCTTTGGCACATAGCAGCACATGGTGCCGACAGGATGCAGAGTTCCTCCTGAAGCTCGACCCCCCAATCGAGTACATCTGCGTGTCTTTCGTGCAGAAGGATCAGGACTTGCAGGAGCTTATCGACATCATGGACCGTCTGCAGATCCCGCAGGACTCTGCCCATGGAAGGGCATCTTACTAGAATGATGAGGTAATCCTAGTCGCAATGTGATCGCGGTGCTGATCGTCGTAGTAGTAGCAGTGGACATAGCCGTGGCCGTAGCCAAAGCCATCGGACCAGTATTAGTAGGAGGAGTTGCAAGTAGTAGTAGGAGGCTTGAAGGGTTTGGCACTGTGAGGAAAAGCGGCCGAAGATTTGCCCAAAGATTGAGAAGCCACAGGCACGTCCACGAAGTGCAGCACACTTTTTCATCAGGTTTCCGATTTATCTTGCTTTCACAAGTCGTCAACTCCCAGCATCTTCTCTTGATAACTGGGCTTTCAATAGAGTCTAGACGTGGCTATTGCTGGAGGAGGATGGTTGGGGTTGAGCCCTTGTGACAGGCTCTCACCAACATCGATGGCATCATCGCCAAGTCCCAGGCCCTGATGGTGGCCCGTGGCGATCTGGGCGTGGAGCTGGAGCTGGAAAGGGTGCCCTTTGCGCAGAAGCTCTTGATCAGGACCTGTTCAGCTGTTGCATCAAGATGTCTCCGGGTCAATAGCCTTGCTTTACCAAGGGGCGCCGTAGCAGTAGCTGTCAGCAATGGGCCAGGAGAGCCAAGGACGCCGGCCTTTTCGCACCTCGTACAGCAACAGCTGAAGACTCGAGTTTCGAGGGCTTCGAGAGGTTTGGACTTAGTGGTTTCACAAACTGCGGGTGTGCGTCCAGTCTGTGCTGCTTCACCGCAATCACGATTCCCAGGTGATCAATGCTACTCAGATGGTGGAGAGCATGATCGAGCACCTCAGCTTGCACAAGGAAACCGAGCAAAGCCCCCGAATCAAGAGTGGTCTACAAAGCAGAGTGGAACCTGCAGAAAGTTGAAGATGTTGGAAAATGGGGTGAACGCAAGCTTACCTTGGCGTTGAGACCCAGCTATGGCATAATCCGAGGCAGCCTGTGCCCACGCGGGCCGAGGCCAGGGTTTCGCAGAGTCATTTCTGTTGGCAAGTCGCAGGTGTTTGTTTGTTTGTTTGTTTGTTTGTGTGTGTGTGTGTTTGTGTGCGCAGTGCGCCCTGCCAGGGGTGTGTGATTGGCCACAGTTTTTCTTGATTTTGGTTGGTTGCCATGTGATGTTGCACGCACAATTTGGTGGAGACATACGGCAAGTTGTGGTCATTTGTCGGGCAATGTTAGAAGTCTTCCCCTGCCCATCTGATATTAGGCCCCACTAGGCAGGCATGTCAGCTGAGTCTTCTAGCAACTTGCTTGGCCACCGTCTAGATTCCAGATGCTCGCAGCTTGCGCGAGAGGGCCTGAAGCATGTGCTTGAAGATATAGGGGAGGGCAGAGCATGCGTGCAAGGGCGCAGACTGCGGTATTCTGTACATCCCACCAGTGGATCAGGTCAGTGATGTGCAGAACGCCGTGTGGGATGGCGCGGATGCTGTGATGCTCAGCGGTGAGGCGGCCAGTGGCAAGTACCCCTGTCGCTTGGCAGCGAGGCGAGAAAAAGGCTCCACAGGGCCATCGAAGGGACAGGCTGCCAGGCTGAAGGCCAAGCACTGTATCACGTAGCAGTTCTACTATGTTACACTGTTATTCCGAAGCAATCGCAAAAGCCACCAGCTAAATGCAAAGATTCTCAGGTGAGGCCGTCCGTGCAGAAGCAGATGCTGCCCTTGAAGCTGAGAGCGTGAAGCACCTCTTGGTCCCACAGGTCTATGATGACTACGCTGCCTGCTTGCATGCATCACCCATCAGCAACGAGCACGGTGAATGACAGATGTAGTGTGGGAAGTAATATACGTCGTTGCAATCTGCGGAACAGGCTTTATCGGAAGATGTGCCACAAATTCAGTGATTCGGCACCAGGTTGTGGAGGAAGCGAACAAGCCGCGCGAGCTGGATGACAGCCGAAGGAGGACCAAGATCGTGGCTAGCCTGGGCCCGGCATCCTGGAGCGATGACATGCTGGCGAAGATGATCCAGGCGTTTGATGATGTTCTGATGTGTCATGCGCAGCGCGGAGAACTCGGTTTTTGCTTCGTACAACAGCCCCTGCAGGCTGGCACAGACATCTTCAGACTCAACTGCTCGCACCGCCGCGGTGCGGGCCTTAGCTTCGCTCCTCCTTCCAAAACCACTGAGATGATGGTCCGGAAGCTGGTGGGCTGGGTATTTACCTGTAGGAGAAAGATTACAGTAGCTTGTGGCAGCAAGGCGGCGATTTCGAGCGAGTCTACCCCGCCATCCGCCGTCACTCAAAGGACCTCCGCATGTCCCTCGCTGTAGGGGCCTTAGGCCTAGGCTCCCGCGTAAGGGCTGCTCCATTGAGGATGAGAGAGTCTCGCTGGCTGACCTTGCAAGATGGCTCTGAATCTCGCGCTCCAAAAGAGTCGCAGGAGTTGGGCGTCAACGTCGAGTGCCTGGGAGACCTTCAGGGACCCAAGTTCCGGGTGGGTGAGCCGCTCGCCTCAACAAGGCTTACAGCTCACCTCAGATCTCGTAAAGCATTCCAGACATCCGGTTGTTCTGCTGCCTTGCAGTTGGATGGCGGTCGGAGATTTGGACATAGACTAAAGCCGACCTGTAAAGCAGGAAGCTTGAATTGCTGTCCTGGACGAGAGAATGTGTTCCAAGATGTTTTCGCTCGTCCCACAGGTTGGCCGGCGAGCCTGTCCAGCTGCAGAACGGAGACATCCTGGAGTTTGGCTGCATGGATGGCAAGAAGAAAGACGGGAAAGGGACCCTCGAGCCATCCAGCCCAATGGCAGCAGGCAGCCATCTGAGTGAAGACCGAGCCCAGGCATCTGCAAGGACGACAACGACCTCATCAAGCCGGGCCGCATCACCATGAAACCGACAACTGAGCAGCACCTTGCCGTGAGCTTTAGGGGGGTGTACTGCTTTGCAAATAGTAGAGGTAATTGAGGTAATCATTAACGCACCTTTCATCTAGAACCCCATTAGAGATCCCTTATAGACCCCTTCAAGGATCCGTTTAAAGGGAACCGGTGCGAAGAGACCTCGTCAGGCATGTCCGAGTTAAGAGAGCGTAAATAATCTTCACAGCTTCGCCTGCTGCGTGTCGTTCTGAGCTCACTGTGAGTAACTACGGCCTTTCTCCCAAACTTGCCACTGGACACAGAAGGCGTCTGCAGACTCTGCACCCCTTCAAAGGGCTTAAACCGTGAAATGCCGAGACCAACTCATTGCTTTTGACGGAAGATCAGCGAAGCCTCAGCTCAGAGCCGTGAGAACACAATGGGAGTTCCGGGTGCTGGTCGTGTTGGGTTTATGCTTCTTTCAGTGATCCCTGACGAAGCTTTGAAGCTTCCGAGCCTCGTCTGACGGCGTCCGAGCCAGGAATGCCCTGGTCGAAGCGTGCAAGGTCGGCAGCCGGTCTGCAGCTGTAGGCGGTACCTGCCTATCTTCCACGAATGTGTTGATCTGTCCATCTATCTGATTATCCCTACATATGTACGTACGTGAGCACGTATGTACATGATTATGTGCATCAGTTGTATGCGTGCAAGTCTTAAAGGCATTGCTGCTCCAAGGCACAGTTCTGCTCATTGAAGATGGGCTCATGGAGGTGAAGGTGACAGAGAGACTCAGCGAAATTCCTTCCTATGCGAAATTACTTCCTATGCTCCAAATGCGATTCAATGATCCCACGACAAGCAATTGTAGCAGGGTTCAGGCGTTACGGCAAAAGGGACCTGACACACACTAGCTGCTGCATTCTTGTGCCATGACCGTTACCGTTTGGTTCGTGTTGAGGATAAGATGAGCACGGTAGGCCTAGGCATGCTGCCAGCCCTGCCCCTTGAAGAGCCACACAGATCACGTTGCAAGGAAGATCTCCTCCACGGAGCTCAAGGTGGAAGTCACTCGCGGCGGGAAGCTGAAGGTGCCTAGCTAAGATGGGGTCAGGCTTGAAGGCGCTTCAATTTCACAAAACCGCGCTTGCACTTACTCTTGATCTGTTAAGTCTGACCACATGGGATGTTTGCAGGACTTCGGTTCAGAGTGTCCGGGTGTGAGATGCTGGCTGGGTGCGCCTCTCCGAGAGAGCATAGTTTGACCTAAACAGGCGCGCAAGGGCGTCAACGTGCCGGACTTGGAGATCGACTGCGCCGCCCTGACGGCCAAGGAACTCCTGTCAGCTGCAAGCCTCCGCTTCGAAACGACCCCGGGATCTTGATAATTACGTAGGAGCACCTCAAACTTCCGCAGATGTCACTCTTAGTCTTGCTATGATGGTACTACCCTTGCGGAGCTCCATGCAGGACATCGAGGATGCGGAGTACCTGCTGCAGCTGGATCCTCCTATTGAGCCCCTCATTAGCATGTTGAGTGGCCTGAGCACTGAGCACAGAATGTAAGTCAGTATTGACCTGAAGTCTTGATGGCAGGCCTGCACAAGAATTACCATGCAGAAAACCAAAGGTACATCTGCGTGTCCTTCGTGCAGAAGGGCCAAGACCTCCAGGAGCTCATTGACATCATGGATGCCTGGTTTGCATTACGCTTGAATTCGAGGAGCTGTCTTTATTGATTTTGCTTCTCTCTCACTGGTCTATGATCCTGCTTCGGTTGTCGTCAAATACCCGAGAAGGCCTTGTCCGTCTTATGACTGAGGACCGACTGAAGATCCCGGCGGAGCGTCGTCCGAAGATCTGCCCCAAGATTGAGAAGCCCCAGGCCACGCTGCGGCAGCTACTGTAGGTTATCGCGAATGGACGGAGTGTCAGACCTGTTTTCTGTTTTGGACATGCTATGGCTGCTGTGGGAAAACTCAAGATCTTCTGGTTCGGGGTCTAGTTTATTAACAAGCCTCACGTTATGGCGCGCCGCTGTTGTAGCGTGTCAGGCCCTGACCAACATTGAGGGCATCATCGCCAAGTCCCAGGCCCTGATGGTGGCCCGAGGCGATCTGGGCGTGGAGCTGGGCCTCAACCGCGTGCCCTTTGCGCAGAAGCTGCTCATTGCCCGGGCCAAACAGGCCGGACTCTTCGTGGCCCTGCAGCAACAGGCCTTTTCAGATTCACAGTTCATCACTCTGAAAGGTGCGTATGTGGAACCAGATTCGCCGCATGAGCTCAGGTGATCAACGCCACCCAGGTCGTGGAGAGCATGATCAAGAATCCCGTGCCGACCCGCGCCGAGGTCAGCGATGTGTGCAATGCTGTGTGGGACGGAGCCGATGCATCTTGGCAACGCAGATCCACAGAGCACTGGCCCGCGTCGTGATTTTCGGTGCCAGAGCTACCGGTACTGGTGAGTTTGCACTTGCTGTCGCTAAAGTCAACCACGTAAGTAATTTTTCCCTGACCCAGTCCACGTGAAGTGCCTCAGCCGCGTATTGGGAGCTGAGGCAGTGATGCTGTCCGGAGAAGCAGCCAGCGGCGACTTCCCATGCGAAGCTGCCACTTGGTTCGCTTACCTCTGCTTGTTGCCTCCGTGGGTAGTGTTCTGAGACCCCGAGAGGGTTTTTGGATTTGAGGGTGTTCTGCTGGCGCTCTTCACGGACCTGCTTCTGGTTAGAGTGCCCAGCCTGCCAAGCCTCTGCCAAGGTCATGGCTGAAGCTTCTGCAGCTCGTGAAGCTGAGTCCGCAGCATGGCAAAGACTTGGATGAATCCCTTGAGCCTTGAGTGAGCTGGGCCTTCAACTGACGCTCCGTGCTGTCATGCCCCTTTCCGGCCTTCTCCTCGTTTGTGGGCTCAGTCGAGTCCCGTGTCTCTGAGGTCAAGCACCGGCTGAGGCGTGCATGCCCGCCTGTGGAATCGGGCGCCTGACCAAGCTTCGCGTCCTTTGTTTCTTCTCAGTTTCTTCTCCTCGCGACAGAGACACCAGCAGCAAGCACCCCGAGGTGCCATGGCTCCTCCGATGCTGCACGTAAGCATGGGCAACAAGAAGCAGGACACTTTTCTCCTTCTCGAGCTTTGACGGCCTTGACGTGGTGAACTAGCCGTGTGCCAGGAGACCGATGACTCCCTGCGAAAGACCAAAGTGGTTGCAAGCCTGGGCCCTGCTTCCTGGAGCGAGGAGCGCTCATCTACAGAAGACTTCTGGGAACTGCAAAGTCATGCTAGCTTATTTATCATGAGTTTCCAGGGATGCTGGCAGAGCTTCCTTGCTCTCTCCCTCGCTCTGTCCCCTCTGTCTCTCTGTCTCTCTGTCTCTCGGTCTCTCGGTCTCTCGGTCTCTCGGTCTCTCGGTCTCTGGGTCTCTCGCTCTCTCTCTCTCTCTCTCTCTCTCTCTCTCTCTCTCTCTCTCTCTCTCTCTCTCTCTCTCTCTCTCTCTCTCTCTCTCTCTCTCTCTCTCTCTCTCTCTCTGAATGTAGCATGTCACCAGGAGAGAATGTAGCATGTCACCAGGAGATGATCCCCAAGATGATCGAGGCCGGCACCAACATCTTCCGCTTGAACTGCTCCCACCGCCGTGGCGGCGACTTCGAGCGCGTCTACCCGCTGATCCGTAAAGCTGCACAGGAGCTCGGCAAGAAGGCGCGGTGCGTTTGCGGCGAGGGATGGCCATGATTGCAGCTGATGACTTTGCGCAGCCGAGTGACCTATTCGTAGTACTCACAGGGTGGGCGCTAGCCCAAATGTGATGTGACATGTGATATGTGAGTGGTCCAGGTTGAGTGCCTCGGCGATCTCCAGGGTCCGAAATTCCGTGTCGGAGAATTGGCTGGAGACCCAATCGAGCTTGTCAACGGCGAGGTGTTGGAGTTCGGTATCAGCAAGGATGACAATGACAACATCCGGCCCGGACGTATTACCATGAAGCCTACCACAGAGCAGAATGCCTTGATTGCCGCCTCCAAGGTGGGAATCGATCTGCTGTTGGAAGATGGCATCATGAAGGTAAATGTCGTGGAGAAGCTCAGCGACACGGAGCTGAAAGTGAAGGTCATCCGTGGTGGAAAACTCAAAGCCCGCAAGGGTGTCAACGTTCCAGACGTTGAGATTGACTGCGCAGCTCTGACCACCAAAGACGTCGAGGATGCCGAGTTCCTGTTGCAGCTGGACCCTCCCATCGAGTACATTTGCGTGTCTTTCGTACAGAAGGGACAGGACCTCCAGGAGCTCATCGACATCATGGACCGGCTCAAGATTCCACAGGCCCCCGCCAAGTCCTTTGCATCTCCCCATGCTTCTTCCATGTTCTCAGACCTGAGGAAAAGCGACCCAAGATCTGCCCGAAGATCGAGAAGCCTCAGGCTGTTATGTTGCATTCGATGTCGTAGTAGTCTTAGTGCCGCAGCATGCTGACCTGATTCTGTGGTCTATTCAAGGCTCTCACCAACATCGATGGCATCATCGCCAAGTCTCAGGCCCTGATGGTGGCGCGAGGCGATCTGGGCGTGGAGCTCGAGCTCGAAAGAGTGCCCTTCGCGCAGAAATTGCTCATCCGCAAAGCCAAGGCTTCGCTAGTGCCAGTTCTTATGTCCATATGTGCGCAGAGCGGTGCAAGAGCTTGATGTGCACTCTGTGCTAACTGCCGCGAGGACGCCGGGCTTTTTGTCATCAACGCCACGCAGATGGTTGAGAGCATGTGGCTCGTCGGAGCGCGGTCTGTAGTGGCCTCGCACTGCGGTTTTGCCGTAGGGTGCAAGTGCGGGGAGACCAGATCTATGGAGCAAGAACGGAGGGAACAGGAGGAACTCGTCACCGGGCTTGTGAGCCCGAGACGAGTGCGACCAGTATCGGTGGCGGTCATGGTGTTGTTTGGGAGTTGTAAGAAGCCACATGATCACAGACATGGCGCATGCCTGAACATGACAATCTCCGAGGATCGAGAGCCCGGTCCCGACTCGGGCAGAAGTTAGCGATCTGCAGAACGCCATCTGGGACGGTGCCGATGCGGTGATGCTGAGCGGAGAGGCGCTCGAAAGCAGAACAACGCATCAGAGACTTCACTTCTATCTCTTCGCCTCTGGCAGGCGGCCAGCGGCAAGTTTCCTTGCGAATCGGCCTCCAAGCAGCATAGCCAGAACTCGCTCTCCGATCCTATAATCCTATAATCAATCACTATAACCTCCTCCTTTCATTTCGGGCATCTAGCGCATCTAGCCTCTGGTGAAGCCGAACGACGTGTGTGGCTTTCAACGCCGTAGGGACACACTGTATGTCAATGATATACAAGAGACGCTGAGTTACCCCAGGCTTGGTAGAGGCTGGAGAGCCGAAACTTTGGCTTCACACTGGCTCACCGTGGCCCAATCCTGTGAGATTTCACAAGGTCGCAGCAGAGGCAGCTGCAGCGCTCGAAGCTGAGAGCGTGCCTGGGCCTGCATAGCCGAGTGTTGTGGACAGGGTTGTGAGTGCTGCTGATTGTAGCTGCTTTCGCGCTTCGAACGAGAACGCCATGGACGTTTCTGGAGCTTCTCGCATTGGGATTTGCATGTTTCAGCTTCATGTTGCATTGAGGTTAAAGATCTGTTGATGCCACGCCTGGGCATCGACTACTTCTGCGATGAGGTTCACGTCCGGACTGCATGCTGTTCAGAGGTAATCAGATAGCCATTGGTAGAGATAGAGTTTCTAGAGGGCTCATGTCATGTGCCTCTTCCAGAGCCTTTTGAAGAGCGACTTCACGTTTTCCCTGAGGGCAACAAGCCCAGGGAGATGGACGACTCCAAGCGCCGGACGAAGGAGGGCAGGGGCGAAAGCGGTAGGAATGATTTTGCAGGCAAGCAAGCCGTTTAGAACAATCATCGTTTGCAACGCGATTCCGCAAGGGTCTGTCGTTTGTCGATTGCCTGGGGTCCTTCAGCAAGACGAGTCCTGCGATGCGTTCCAGGTTGTGGCCAGCCTGGGCCCAGCATCTTGGAGTGAGGACGGGGTCTAATTTGCGGCGCCTCTTCGGGGCAAAGTGGGGGAGTTGGCACTTAGGGTTTGTTGAAATGGATGACAGGAGATGATCCCCAAGATGATCGAGGCCGGCACTGACATCTTCCGCTTGAACTGCTCTCACCGCCGCGGCGGCGACTTCGAGCGGGTCTACCCGCTGATCCGCAAGGCTGCAAAGGAGCTTGGCAAGAAGGTGCTGCAGACTGCTTTTACAGAGAGAGACCAAAGGGTGGCACAGGTCTTGCACAAAAACATGCATGGCCTTTTGAGCATGCTACGTTTTCCTTGTCCTCTCATGATGTCATCTCAATAGCAGAGTCTACAACACGGCAGTCTACATCCTACATCCTGTGTCCAGAAGACGACAGGAGTTTGTTATCTTGTGGTGTGGAGTTCTTGTTAATGGTGCCTTAGGGCATTCTGGGCTCCCACTTGTCGTTGAGCGTAGGGCTGATGCCAGGTGGAGTGCTTGGGTGACCTGCAAGGGCCCAAATTCCGCGTCGGGGAGCTTGCCGCGGATCCCATCCCCCTGGTGAACGGCGAGATCTTGGAGCTGCTTGGAGTGAGACTGGATGCAGCCATGCAGCGTGTCGGGAATGCGATCAAGATTAATCTAGATCAAGGTGGGGTCGCTGAAAGGATCAGCCAAACAGCTCTGGACGGTCCTGTTCCCTGAAAGAGAGCTGTCGCTTCGAGACCGGCCACTGCCACAAGGTAATTTCCCAGAGAACGTGCACTCGATGCGGGGGCCAGGGTCTGACCAAAACAACGCTGAGGTTCGGAATCAGCGTCGATGACAACGACAACATCAAGCCGGGACGCATCACTATGAAGCTGCTCAGCTGCAAACGCATTTCACGAGTTCGTCGGGACCCTGCTTTCAAGCCAAGCTCGAAGCAGTCACGAATCTTGGATTCATGCCGGCAGCCCTCATCTAGCGAATCTAGCCAGCTTTGCGAATCTACTGTTTCCTTTCAGCCGAGGCCGACGACAGAGCAGAACGCCCTGGTCAAGGGCTGCCAGGCCGGGGAGTCTGGCTTCGTACTGTTACGATCACCACGGCCGAGGACCATGAACATGAATACGACTACTACGAGCACGATGTAGGGCTGCAGTGGTAGTGCTACCACTGCAGAACGACATCTCACTAAGACTTAAGCATACAATACACATCATGACATTCGCGAGTCTTGCTCGTGTTCGACCCAATAACAACACGACCTGTGCAGGTTGGCACTACCTTGCTGATTGAGGACGGCATCATGGAGGTGGAGCTGAATCGACAGTTTTTTGGTGCTAGGGTGCAAGTGTGGAGTTCCGGCGCCTGAACACGTTCACGGCACTCCCAGTCCCATGACTTTCTCATCGTTGTGAGGTGGTGGTCACTGAGAAGATTAGCGACACAGAGCTCAAGGCGCATGCCACATCCCGAATCACGGCAAGCGAAGAAGCAAAAAATTGCAGCATCCTCCTGATGTCTTCGTGGGATGTGATCGTCGCAGGTAAAAGTGGTCCGGGGAGGCAAACTCAAAGCCAGGAAGGGCGTGAACGTGCCGGACATCGACGTTTGGCTCTGGTTTAGACCGTCTTGCATGGACTCGTTGCACAGACGTGTATCGCCCTGACATACTGTATCACGACCCAGGAGATCGATTGTGCAGCCCTCACTGTCAAAGACATCGAGGCACACACTGGGCAAAATCTTGATGACATGGTTTACGTTGCACGCAAGTATGCATCTCTTGACATGTCGCTGTGAAAGGGAGTTCCACTAGTGACTACAGACTACAGCGCCGGCCCGCAGCACCTGAGCCCCCCTATCGTCTGCGAGGATGCCGAGTTCTTGCTGCAGTTGGATCCTCCTATCGAGCCCGGAGCTCGGGCGCACTCGGGCATTCCGACATATATATATATATATAATATATATATATATATATATATATGTTCGATAGTCTCATAGATATATAGGTATACGCCCATGTACTGCCATATACCTCCACATGCATACGTACATACATGTATATGTTAATATGTATATATGTGTATATATATATGTATGTATATTTATATTTCTATTTAGTTTGTTCTATATACAGCCCGTGCAGGTTCTAGACATCCTATGACCGATTGTATACATACATACATACATACATACATACACACACACATATACATATATATATATATACATACATATTCATATATATATATCATATATATATATACACGCATAAAGAGACACGCACACATATGTATGTGTGTGTATATAGTGTGTATATATATATATATATATATATATATACACACACACACACACGCACACACTCACACATGCATGCTGGTTGAAGGTTGCTCTCCTGGCGGCCCTAGCCTTAAGCATTTGCACTCGGAGGTACATCTGCGTCTCCTTCGCTCAGAAGGCCCAGGACTTGCAGGCGCGGCTTTGTCAGAAGCTCAAGGGACGCACCTGTAAACGAGTGCCCCGACGCCGAAGGAGCTCATCGACATCATGAACAGGCTGCAAATCCCTGCTGAGCTCCTTGGTTGGCGGTTGGTGCTGTTAGAAGTGCAAATTTGCCGTTACATAGCGATGTCTCCGTGGTCAAGACAGACGGGGAGTGGAGTGGGGCCTCGTGAGCTGAGATATCCAAGCATGTTTGCCGCATCTGAAGAGCAGTATGCTGGCTCTTGTGCGGTCCTGAATGTCGCAGCTACTCTTGGAATTGATCGCGCCGCCCGTTGCTGCTGTTACTGTAGGTGTTTGCTTCCTTTTGGTTCGTTGCATTGCTGCCTTCTCAGTGCGATCTCTTTGCATAACCTAGAGCAAGTGCTAGGGTGTGCATTTCGCTGCCGTGCATGCGTGCATTAGTGAGTCGGTGGCGTCCGGGTGCCTCTGTGTCTGCAGTGGCGACACTGAGCGACGCCCAAACTTGGCTTGCTAGAGTACTGCACATGTTGGCATGCAAGATCATACAAGTTGTTGAAGACCTGGAGACAGCTGGAGCACAGAAAAGCGAATCCTTTGCCTCTGCCTCTGCCGGTTTTAAACATGTTGAAATGCAGACGTATTGCTGTGACTATGTGACTATGCTTATCTGGGTCAGTGCGGCTAGCCAGCGGCACACTATGCTATCAATGCCATGGCTATGAGATTATGAATGGCTTCTCTTCTTGTTTGGAGAGTTGTGGCTTCTCGGCTTCTCACGACGTGACCGTGAAGCTGAGGAAGAGGCCGAAGATTTGCCCGAAGATTGAGAAGCCACAGGCCCTGACCAACATCGATGCTTGGAAGAAGGTCAGCAGTGGAAATCCCTGAGCAAGTGTTGAGTGAGCCAATGAACCCACGCACAGGTGTGTGTGTGTGTACGTGAGTGCAAACAGTGTTGGGCAAGGAAGAAAATCATTGCATGTAGGGATGCAGAACCAGTGCCACTGGTGTGCGAAATAAGGAAGGAATCATCGAGAAGTCACAGGCCTTGATGGTTGCCCGCGGGGATCTTGGTGCCGGGCTCAGGTCCGGCCTTCCTTCTTCTCTGTCGCCTCTTCTCTCTGGGATCGAGAGAAGAGTTCAGGAGGCTAGACTGCCGGTCTCGTGCCATCGAATTGCAGGTGTTGAGCTTGGACTCAACCGCGTGCCCTTCGCGCAGAAGCTTCTCATTCGAAAGGCTCGGTCGCATTCGCATTCGTGGGCCTGTGTAGCATCTGCCAAAGCTCTTGGTCGGAACAAATGTCACAGGAAGAGTCTTACAGCTTGAGATCCCAAATCCGACATACATGCTTCAGCGACCATTGTTCAAGCACTTCGAGTTATTAGGAGCTACTGCCATCGGCCATGCTACTGCCAACATGTTTACGAAACCGCTCCGAACTTTCTGTCATAACCCTTTGCTGAGCTGTCCTTGCGGCAATAGGCATCCGGGTCACAATCCTCAGCGCCATGGGGGACAAGGGCTACTCAAGCTTTCAGAAGAGCCCGATACGGGGCCGCCCCAATGTCAGCAAACTGGTGCCGAAGAAGCTGACGCGCACGACCACTGATGACTCCCAGACTGCCATCAACCGTGTGGTCCACGAAGCCTTGGCGCGTGGAGGCACAGTGTCTTCGCCTGAGGTTGCTGAGGAGGTGCAGCAGAGGGTGGCTTTGGTGTTGCAGGCAAAGGAGGACGAGCTCACAGGCAAAATCACACACCAACAGCGCTTGCAGCTGATCAAGCTGGTGGCTACACTGTCAGCAGAGGAGTATTTTGAGGAAGCGAGGCGACTGCAGAGCTCAGCCCGACAGGATGCAGAGCAGAAGGTCATATCGAGCTCGATGCTGCCAGTCATCTGGCGGCGGATGCTTTGCAGCTACTTTCTTGGCCAGGAGGAGGTTCTGGGCCTTGGAGCCTGCTGCCGCTTTCTGCGACAGGACCATGCGCTTGGTCTCCAGAGTTTCGTGCTTCCAAGCCACCTAGAAGGTTTGGAAGACACAGTGAGCACAGCACCCTTGGCAATGAAGCCGCTGCCTCTGCCAGCGCTGAAGCGGCTCGTGTCGAAGTTCCGCTATGCACAGAAGCTAGTTTGCGGCACGAGATGTTGCCGTCTTCAGGATTCCGATCTGGAGCTTCTACCATTGGCCCAGCTCAGGGTCCTGGACCTTAGCTTCTGCTACAACTTGACTGAAGAAAAGCTGCTGGAGGGCCTGCGCTCTACTCTCTGCCTCTCAGACTTGAGCCTCCGGGGCTGTTCGCAGCTCACATCACCTGGCACAGACGAAGTCCTTGCAGACTTGCAGGGCCTGGCCTCTCTGGATGTACGTGGCTGCAGCAACCTATGCAGTGAAAGTATGATGCGCATGACTGCAGAGAACCTGAAGCAATTGACAACATTGAGGTTTGGTTACACCTGTACACCTCAACTCTGGCCGGAGCACCAGGCAATGCCCTTGGAGACCTTTTCCTCGGAGGCCTTCGCCGCCCTTGGGTCAAGCCACTCCCGATTGCAGTGCTTGGAGCTGGACATTGGTCTCATGGCTCGTTGGGTGAACCGAGCAGAAGCACGTGTCGTGGACGATGCCGTCGTGTCTTTGCTGTGCCTGAAGCACCTTCAGGCCCTCATGCTGTGGAACTGCAAGGACCTCCAGCGGATGACTTTTCGGAGAATCCTGGACCGGCTTGGCGATGACATTGACACGGTTAGCATCGACGACTGCTACCACGAACACGATGCCTACTTCCATGTCATCCCAAGCGACTGGGGCATCCGCACTGCACAGGACTTGGGCAAGGGCCTGAGGTCAGAGGCAATGCTGCCGCCTTTCGGCTCAACAGCGGGACGTGCCGTCCTCATCGGGCAAAATGTTGCCCGGGATCCGGAAGTCGTGTTGGCGAACACAGTCCAGCCACTCGTGGACAAGGGCTGCCAGCCGACCTTGCTCGTGCTGCACGGCGAAGGACAGTATGATGGGATCATTCAGCTGGCAAGTGACCGAACGGCGGAGATTGAGCTCTTGACATCCATCAACATACCGGACGACTTTTTGGAGAACTTCTGTTGCTCGATGCTGAAGCGGTGTCCGCTACTGAGGAGGCTCGGCATCCGCACAAAGGGTGCGATGATGTCTCTGGGTCAGCTCCGCGGATATGAAGCGCTTCTGAAGGTCCTGGCAGAGCAATGCCAGCAACTCGAAGTCTTTGACACATGGTTGATAACCAGCTTCGAAAGCCTCACTAGCAGGCAGACATTCAGGGGACCTGTGGTCGAATACTATGACGGGAACCCGAACTCTGCTTTGGCATCTCCTCCTTCTGTGCACTACGATACATTACGCGACTTCTTTGGATCGTGCCCCCGCCTGGCCGCCGTGCGCTTGATCATGCCCGCAGCAGCACAGGACCGGCTCGCTTTTTGGAGATTTTGCTCCGATGCCGGCTTCCCGCAGAGCTCCTTGATCCTGGGACAGGAGCCGACACCCCGAAACCTCCCGCGGCCAGTTGTCGAGGTCGAGGCTGAAGAGCTGAAGATCTTGCGGCAGCTGGACCCGGCACCGGTCACTGAGCTGGCGATTATGAAGGGTTGTCCGCTGACGACGGCTATGGCAGGCGAGATCTTGCGGTTCACACAGCTCCGAAGGCTTGGGCTGCAGCAGATGCACAGCTGGCCTGTGCTTCGGGAGCTCCTCGTGCCCCTCGCAGAGCACTGTCCGGACATAGAGGAGCTATGGCTCGACGACATCATAGTTTCTGAAGAGGAAGGGGAGGTTTTTGTGGAGGCCTTGCAGAGGTTCAGACTCCGCAGCTTGCGCATCGGAAAGCTGGTGCCGGAGAGCGTGGAGCAGATGCTGGTGCAGGCGCTGCCAGGCTTGGTGCAGCAGAACCGGAGAACCCTTCAGAATCTCGCATGCAGCGGAGAGCTTGGCAGCCAGGTGCTGTGCTCACTGGCAGCCAAGGCCCCACAACTTCGCAGCCTTTCCGTCCGTGTGAGTCCGAGCCAAGACAAGAACGGAAAGGACAAGGAGGTTTGCTCTGACTTCGCTGGTAGCCAGGAAGAGCTGTTGCTGAAGCTCGTGGCAAGACGTCCCAAGCTTGAGGAGCTTGAGATCGCCTGGGTGAGGCCACCGGACAACAACAAGCAGAGTGAGGAACAGGAGAGGCGGACGCTCTCGCAGGTGCTCCACCAGGGGCCGCAGCTGGTGGACTTGGGCTGCACGAACATCACCTGCTACACAGGGCTGCAGTACAGCGACGGGCATGAGTACACTCCTCAACCGGATTCCGACGACAGTGACGACAGTGACTAGCTGCCAATGAATGTGCAGACGTGTGTGATTCCGCGAATCATGGTGAACTTTCAGCTGTCTGGGCTGAGGCTTTTCCTTGCTGCACCTGCGGAGAGATGAAGTTCCGCTGGACGGTTATGGTCAGAATGTATTCAATTCATTACATGCTTTGTCATTTTCAGTGATCACACACTGTGGGAGCGGTCCATCGCAAAAGCGCATGCTTGCCTGCGCTCCAGTGTGTTCAGCCATCGCTTCAAAAACCTTCTCAACACTCGATGCGCAAGTTCGCCGAGAAAAGTCCTTTGCTGTGTTCCTGAGCTGTCCAGGCATGAGTACAGGGATATGCCCCAGCGTGGGAGTCGAAAGCCAAAGACCCTCTGCAGCCTCTTGCGACTGATGGACTACACAGGCAAAGGATGCTGGGCTCTTCGTGATCACAGCCACGCAGATGGCCACAGCCCAAGATCCCTCCAACCGAAACACAGGATCGCAGCCATGAAGCCTGAACAATCATGATTGATGCCAATACTCCGGGCATAACGAACCAAGTGTCAACAGACATTCTTTTGCCGCTCACAATGGCAGCAGCAGCAAGAACCGTAGTGAACAGCCGCAGCAGCAGTAGCCTCAACAGCTTCAACAAAAGCAGCATGCAGACCACCAGCGCAGCAGATCATTGTTGGTGGAGCAACAGAGCGAATTCTATTTCTGGTAGAGTAGCAGCACAAAGTGGCAGAAGTAGCAGTAGTAGCAGGAGTAGTAGTGCTGATGGTGCTGGTCGTGGTCGTGGTAGTGGCAGTGGCAATAGTAGTTGTCGTGGTTGTCGTCGTCGTAGCCGCAGCCTTAGCCGTAGTCGTAGTCGTAGTCATAGTCGTCGTCGTAGTAGCAGGTAGTAGTAGGAGCAGGAGGAGGTGGGTCAGTCGCGTCAGTGAACTTGTTGCAGCAGTGTGAGCAGTCGGGTTAGGGAGTGCGAGTAGGAGTAGTAGTAGCAGTTGTTGGCAGTAGCAGGAGCAGTAGCAGCAGCAGCAGCAGCAGCAGCAGTAGCAGTAGCAGTAGCAGTAGCAGTAGCAGCAGCAGCAGCAGTAGCAGTAGCAGTAGCAGTAGCAGTAGCAGTAGCAGTAGCAGTAGCAGTAGCAGTATCAGTAGTAGTAGCAGTAGCAGTAGCAGTAGCAGCGGCAGTTGTGGTAGTGGCAGTAGTAGTAGTAGTAGTAGTAGTAGTAGTAGTAGTAGTAGTAGTAGTAGTAGTAGTAGTAGTAGTAACTAGTAGTAGTAGTAGTAGTAGTAGTAGTAGTAGTAGTAGTAGTAGTAGTAAGTACTAGTAGTAGTAACTAGTAGTAGTAGTAGTAGTAGTAGTAGTAGTAGTAGTAGTAGTAGTAGTAGTAGTAGTAGTAGTAGTAGTAAGCAGTAGTAGTTAGCAGTAGCAGTAGCAGTAGCAGTAGCAGTAGCAGCAGCTGTAGCTGTAGCTGTAGCTGTAGCAGTGGCAGTGGCAGTGGCAGTGGCAGTAGCAGTAGCAGTAGCAGTAGCAGTAGCAGTAGCAGTAGCAGTAGTAGCAGTAGTAGCAGTAGTAGTAGTAGTAGTAGTAGTAGGTAGTAGTAGTAGTAGTAGTAGTAGTAGTAGTAGTAGTAGTAGTAGTAGTAGTAGTAGTAGTAGTAGTAGTAGTAGTAGTAGTAGTAGTAGTAGTAGTAGTAGTAGCAGTAGCAGTAGTAGTAGTAGTAGTAGTAGTGGTAGTGGTAGTGGTAGTGGTAGTGGTAGTAGTAGTAAGTAGTAAGTAGTAAGTAGTAAGTAGTAAGTAGTAAGTAGTAAGTAGTAAGTAGTAAGTAGTAAGTAGTAAGTATAAAGTATAGTAAGTAGTAAGTAGAAGTCGAGTAGTTAGCAGTTAGTAGTTAGTAGTCTGCGAACGGACTGCGATGCCTTGTCAAGTTCTAAGGTGTCACTATAAGAGCTGTGAGCAAGACCGTGTAAAGTGCAAGAGAAGGGGGCACGCTACGCGTCCCTCGACTCTAGGGGGCATGCTACGCATCCCTCATCTTTACCTTTCTATGTGACCGCCAACGCAACGTTTGGCTCAAGTCAATGCCCATAGCTAAGTGCTATATGTGTCTTCTATCCTGAGCAATCAGAGCTATCCCGTTGCACAGACGAACCGCCGCCGGCAGTGAGTGCAAAAGGAACGGCCGCCGGTTCTGCCTGCATAGGATCGCACGTGTGGAAGTAAGAGGGAGAGACAGGGTCCAGTCTGTGGAGAGTGCTAGCCAGCCACACCTACATTCATTACAGCTCTGGTGGGGAGAGCAGCAACCAAGTCGAGATCAATCCCCCACGCAGGTTATCAGCCGTACGCGGCTCTGCCTTTCTACAGCAACGACTACTTGATCTACTACGACCACAATGAACTCAGGATCAAGCCAAGATACGACAATGACTTTCGGTGCCGATGTGGCAGCGCCAGCCGTTGGTGAGTCAACAGCTGACGACACAGTGGTGCAATCCGTTGATAGCTCCACGGAAGATGACAAAGGTCAATCTTCTGCGCTTGCCATTGCAAAGGCAGTTCCCAAGGGGAAAGCAAAGAGTCTACCAAGAGCATCTACGCCTTCGCGTCCGACATCCACAGGTTCGAGGACGGGCAAGGCTTCAGAACGACGGGCCGAAGCGTCTGGTTTTCAGGCACCTCGGACTACGTCCAGGGCCAAGGACAAAGGAGTCAAGACCTTGGAAAAGAAGTCAAGACCATCATCTTCGAGAAGCTCTTCAGCACGATCGAGGACTTCGGCTACTCGTGGGCGTGACAAGTCCATGACTTGGAATCGGATGGTTACCAATCAACCACGCGATGCTGACGATCTGGACATGACTCTGGATACGATTCCTGCACGTGGTGATGCGTCGTCCGTAGCTACGCCTGCCATAGCTGATGGTCCGAATGCCTACCAGGAACTGACGATTTCGCAACAGTTCGAAGCATCGAACCTTGCACAGCAGATGTACTATCGCAGTCAGGTGCAAGAATACGAAGGAATCGTCCAGACCCTGATGGACAAGATCAAGGAGATGCAACAAGAAGATGAAGGATCTGGAATTCGCATTGAAGAATTGGAACGACAACGTGACCATGCATGCTTAGCCATGAGGCACATCAACAATGTCAATCAGGAGATGAAGCGAGACTATGAAACAGCTTTGTTTCGCATGGATGAACAGAACTCTGCTCAACAACGTCAAGCACATGCCGTTGCCGAGGAGTTAGCTCAACAGCTACACGTGTTCCGCACGGAGGCAGCCACCAACTTTGTACAGTTGGAGGCAAGAGCGCAAGGCGATGGTGAGCTTATGGCACGTGAGTATGAGCGTCTGACTCATGAACTTCATGAACACGCCAGAGAGAACTTGGTCCTCCGGTCAAACACAGCAAGTTCGGAACAAGCCTTACAAGCAATGCAGGAACGATTCCACTTGGTCAAGAACCAGGAGTTGCGGGCTGTGAACGAGATCCAAGGGCTAGCTGGAAACAGCGCAGCCATTGATCAAGAACGATTTCGGCTTCGCGAACGTCTTGGTGAAGAGGAAGAGTACCGCAAAATGGCTGTGAAGAGGATGCAAGAAGCAGAGGACCGACTTCATCAGAATGAAGATCATGCAAGGCGATCATTGCCTACCTTGCACGACGAGCTGAGTGAACTCAGGAAAACGCTCAAAGCACAAGAAGATCTTCAAGCGAGGACACGCAGCGAATTGGAGGCAGCGCGAAACTCCAATCACGGAGGAGCGACACGACCTTCGAGCATGCCCATGTCTTCGAGGACTACTGAGTCTGGCTGGGAGCACGTAGGAAAGGAAGTAATGCCTGCATTTTCCGTAGGAGATGAGGTACGATCCCCTGAAATACGGTCCCCAAGTCAAGTTAGTCCAGTCGCCAAAGAGAAGTTCGCATTCTCGGAATCGGACAAGGACAAGAACCTTGTGATGGATGGGATTCCATTCACCGGTGGAAACTTCTTCACTGGCCGCAGTTCAATGCCAATCGTGGCGGATGCAATGCCCGAGCACTACGTGCCAGGTATTAGCAGCCCAGCACTTGCGCGTTCCACGCCTAGTGCAGCCACTTTGTTCGGCATACCAAGCGGATTTCATGGGAAAAGTGATGCGGCAGCCGTGCGTGATCGACAGCTACGCGAACTCTTGGGGGATCGCGGGATGTTGGGATCGAAGTCCACAGCATCGGCCAGCTCCTCAAGACCTGTTGGTATCGACGGTGTTACCGCATCTACGAAGGGCAACGACCTCATCGGTCCCCCTATTGCCTATGACGATTCCATCCATGAAGCAAGAAGACGTCAGATCGAGAAAGAGGTCGCGGAACGGTACGAGGAGAAGATTGCCGATCTGCGAAGCGAAGTACTTAAGGCCCAGAAAGCCGAGCAACGTCTCAGAGCTGATCGTGATGAATGGAGGTTATTCGCTGAAACGATTCAGGAGGATAATGGAGACGGTGACGGTAACGAGGGTGGCGACGAAAACGAAGATGGAGAGCACGATGAAGGAACCGGCACGGGGTATGATCCTCCTGACCCGCCTGACGATGATGATGATAAGAAGAAAAGCGGTGGAGGCAAACCTGAATCGGATCCTGGCTCGCATGCACGTGATCCTGATGGAGATGCGGATCCTGAAGTCACAGAGGTGAGAATTTCCAGGAGGGAAGCCGACAAAGTGACCGTTCCTCCATGGCCTACTCTCACTCATCTCAACAACTGGCGATCCGTGTGCACGGCCAATGTCTTAGGGGCATCAGCCGACCCACATCATGAGGACTGGATGTTATGGCTGGCACCAGCGTTCAACCCGTTCCCTGATGTCGAAGCATTGAATGATTCAGGACACAAGAAGTTCAAGAGCATAGACGTCAAATTGGGGATCGCCATGGTCGCAATGCTACGTGCCGGTGGTGACAAATCAGCTGACCTGTACCTTGAGGTGAACCGGAAGGCTAACGATTACATCAGCAGGCCTGACGTGAA